TTTTTCTCCATTCTCTGTCCAGCGTCCAATGTTGATCGGATATACCGGTGTTATATACCATTCGATGCGGTCGAAGCTGCTCTTTCTTTCTGTATATCGCTCTCTCATAGGGACCAAACTATAATAGAGTAACGTCAAAAATAGCTAGGGGTGCAAATAAATTGAGGTCCACTGTAGATTTCGTATGAATCCTTTCTGGGTTTCGTACTTCATAATTCATTATTGTCGTTATAACCTATTCTTATAGTTAGACGAGGGAAAAGTATCATGTACAAGAAGAGAAGAAAGCGAGAAGCACTTAACATAAATAGAGCCGACTGTAGTTCAATCTGTTGTTCATAATTCATTCATTTTTTACCGAAATTAAAATAAGTTTTACCATTTTACTAAAAACGAAAATTACTGAGCTTAAAGTTTTCGTTTAAGAGTGGATTAAATAATCATCCAATGATAATAGTCTTCTATTCGTATCGAGTATATCTTTCTTTTCTTTTACGTAAGCAGAATTATAAAGCAGACAGATTATATTGATATGAATTTTTTTCCATGAAGACGTGCACTAGGCTCGGAAGGTGTGATCCGAGATCCTTGGCTTCCGCTCTATACAACCATGTATAAATAGAATAAAAATAAAATTTTGGGACACTTCGAGTTACGCGCACCTTATGTTAAATATTTATCGAAATATTTTCTTTGAGCAACGGTTGTTGACATAGACATGAGACTGTCAATGCAGCTGTATAGAATTTCATAACAAAAATTCTTGTTACTTTAGTATAGTGATATTTCGACTTTTACAGTCATTTTCAAACAATACATAAAAGAAGTACACACGGAAAATCAGCGATAGTCAAACATTACGAATCCACTAGTCACGTAATGTCACCAAACGACTTTCGCATTCTCGTGTCAGAACAGCATAAATATAAACTATTGGTAAAAGAATCCATTCTTATTCAAGTTCAAACTCTAATATTGAGTGGCACAGATCGCTCAGTACCGTTATACGTCTTCCCTGATGGTTTAGAAAACAGAAGTAAACATAATAGTCTAGGTGATAAGAGACTAGTCCCATCAAACATTAGTCAGTGACATTGTTTTTCCATCCACGTTAATGATGTCACGTTCTTTTTTTTAAAACATGCGCACATTTTTTAAAAAAAAAAAGAAAGAAGAAAATTGTAAAATTTATCGAGTTCTAGTTAAAGAAAAGAAAAATATCATGTGTTCTTAGTGTGTGTTACTTCATTTGTGTATACTTCTTTTATGCATTGTTTGAAAAGGACTGTAAAAGTCGAAATATCACTATACTAAAGTAACAAGAAGTCTTGTTATGAAATTCTACACAGCTGCATTGCCAGTTTTACGTTTAAATATTTGTAATCTGTAACAAATAGATATGAATAATAAAGTCATATATGTTTGTTCTTCCTTCTTTTCATTTCTTTTTCTCAATTAGTCTTATTTATTTGATCAAATGGTGTATTAAGTATATTGTTGCTGAGTTTATTCTGTTCTACTCGTGAAATAAAAAAGTTTAAAGCAATAGTATTTGATCGTATATCAAACAAGCGGTACCCTACAAAAAATCAACATTTGGAGAAAATCTTTCCGTATAAATTTGATTTAGAAGCAAGCAAAAAAGTGAAAAATTAAAAATCAACAAGTTTAATTTAAATGACAAAAGATATTTTCATAAAACGTAAATGATACCCTTTTGGTATCTGTGTGATTTGATATTTAATAACACAATCAGTATGTAAACATTTATCCTATTTTGCCACATTTATCGAACCATTTTAATTTAATAAAACTTAAATCAGATAACGACAATAATGAATGGTACTATGAAACCTCTTATGGTTTTGGGCGAACATGAAGGTTTCGTAGTCGAAGTACGAAACCCAAAAAGGATTCATACAAAACCTAAACGATTTCGAAATGGTTGCACTTCTCTATACCCTTTTATGTTTTGTAATGTACCTGTTGTTTTTAGAGAGTACTGTCAATACGATAGTGACTTTTCCATGTGTGCTACCGTACCAAGAGTTCATCTTTTTTTTACGAGTAGACCAAAATTCTAAATACATAAGTAAAGTAAAAGATGAGAAATAAGAGAAAGCATGCGTCTAGTGACTGTCGTGTGGGGTTTGTCCACGTAATCCAGCCAAAAGAAGTCAGTCCGTTACATTTTGAAATAATTATAGCTCCACCATACCATTGACGTTCATGACTTAAAATACCTACAGCTACGCCCCTACACAAGTATTGTGCTTTAGTTAAATAAAGGTTAGAAATTCTAGTAAGCGAAGACTTTTGGTCTATGTCGCAGGGGCGTTATTCGAGAGCAGTTAGAGTATCTTTTTTCTCCAAGGTGCAAATTAGTCCTCCAAAGCCAAAAAAAAGGATTATTATGAAATAAATAGCTTTAACATCTTCATAATACCAGGCATGCACAAGTGTTTTTTGCTGATGTTTGCAAAAATGTTCATATTTTCGAAGAAATGCAATTCACAGTTTTTCCAAAGGTGCAATCTTGTTCACGGTGAGGATAGTACATAACGGCTCTACTCTACCTCATCTACCACTTACTCATCATATGAAACCGATCGATCTTGAGATTTTCACATCAGTTGCGGCGCTAGCTAATCTCTGTTGATCTTTTCATGTACGAAAGCCTCTATCCTACCAATTTCAGGTTAATCGAGTATCTTTTGCTCTATTCGGGAGTAACCAGTCACACAGGTAACTTCGTCAAGTGATGAAAAGCTTCCGAGTTGCTATTTGGCTTATGCATACACAGTGAGTTAAGAGAAAGACCAAGAACGTTTGGGTTTCTGACACTCCCAGCAACTGTTATAAGTATGTAGAAGTTACTATCCATTTCAATGAACAATGGAGTCGGTTGTAAATTGAATATCCGGATAAGAAGCAGCTAGAGACCTGCGGTTTTCAACATTCGAAAGAGAATAATATTCTTTATTAGAAAATATGGAAAGCTGGTTGGTCAACAATTGACCAATCACGCGAGTTTTCGCTTGACTTCTCAGGAAACTACTTATATTTCCTGAACAGCATAAGCTAAAGAGCTGGGCCTTGTGTACATCAATGGAGAACAATTTTCTCTATCGAATGGTTGTATTAGAATTTCAAATCCAACGGGGAATCTTTTCTCCAGGCAGTGCCCAATAAGTCAAGCGAAAACTCGCGTGATTGGTCAATTGTTGACCAACCAGCTTTCGATATTTTCTAATAAAGAATATTATTCTCTTTCGAATGTTGAAAACCGCAGGTCTCTAGCTGCTTCTTATCCGGATATTCAATTTACAACCGACTGCATTGTTCATTGAAATGGATAGTAGTAGATTACAAGCAAAATGTGGAATTTGCCCTGATTGACCTATTTATTTGTGTAATTTACTGATTTTTGTATATTGACCGATTTACAAAAGATTCTTTTTCGTTTAATATATGCTGAATCATAATATGTGTGTAAAATAGTACTCTTTTGAAAGAAAAAGAATGCAGCTCATATGACAAAGTAAATATACCAGATTATACAATATAGGCTTTTCTATAAATATTTACATCAAAAGCTTTTCGATTATATAAAAATAACGAACAAATTCGGACATTGTTCTCACAGTTATTTGAGCTTTACTCAAAACGAAAACAAAACCAGCACCATTACACTCATTTACATAGATCAATTATGTTTAATAGTAACAAAATTTCATTATTTCTGGTTGTTTTAACAGTACCTTATTTTACATCGGCATTTAGTGTCAAACCAGGTCGATGCCCACATGCACAATATGCATCCAGTGGTTGGACATGTTCAGCAGAAGGTGATGATAGCATGTGTTCGAATAACTATAAATGTTGCCCATTGACGAATGGCATGGCTTGCTTTGAGGCATGCCCGACGTTTGATCAGCCATGCAGTTTAACATGCCAGTTTGGTTATAAAGTAGATCCGTCACCATGTGAAACGTGTGAATGTGCTGATAATCCATGTTCTACAACGACATGTCCACTTGGTACAAAATGTGCTGTAAGCATGTATGAGCCGTGTGGAATCAAAGGCCGATGTGGGTTAAAGACAAGTTGTATTGATGATCCAGCACAACTGGAAGGTTTAGACTTAACACCAAAACCAGGAAATTGTCCAAATTATTGGCCGCTTGGAGGTGGAGGACTCACCGCTTGTAAAGGACCTGATGCGATTTGTGGAGGAACAGAAAAGTGTTGCCAAGCGCCAGGAGGTATGACATTCATGCCAAATGCATTTGAAAACCCTTCAAGCTATTGTGTAAAACCATGCCAAGACCTAAGTGACTGTATCCTTACCTGTCCAAGGGGATTAGATATTGAAGGTGGATGTCATGTATGTAAATGTGCTCCAGATCCTTGTGCTACAGTGACTTGTCTACCAGGTGAACGCTGCGAATTACTACCAACACCATGCGCCCATTATCCTGGAAGGCCACCTTGTCCACTGTATCCAGTTTGTCGCAAATTAAGTAACAGACAAGTTTAAAAACATGTATTTCCGGCTCAGCGTTAAGGAGATCACACAATTTGAAGCTTTTTTCTTACGATAAAAATGTCGACTGCCTAGATCTTTCTTTTGTTTATGAAATTAAGAACCACATTCGGTAAGGGGATACCCGATCGGGATATAAAACACAAAATTTCGTCGTACAAACGATTAAGGAAAAAATGACGTCGTTTTGGGGAAAAATTGTTGTCATCATTAGAAAGAGCTCGAAAAACAACAGCGGATTCTGTTGTGTTTGTATTACTGCCCACGCAAGCCATTTTTTTAATAACTTTTGACTAACAATAGTTAGAGAGCTGCGGTCTTCTTAATTCGATAGCCAAGACATCGCTGCATCCTTATGTAACACGTAAGTGATGGGTTTAAAAATACCTCTGATTTACATAACTCTGAAGACATAAACGATGCAGAATTAAGAGTACCATAACCCGAAGAGAAAGCCCGAAAGTCATGCTAGTCAAGAACTTTTCTTAAGAAATGATTCCGCTTATTAATTGATACAAAAAGTACATCTATGTCTCATATTAAGTTCCGTTGTTGACAGCGCTGTATCTAATAAAGTAGACTGCACCCTTGTCTAAAAAGTGGCTCGGCGTATAGTATATCTGGTGTACTTCAAACTGACATAGAAAGCGGAGAGGGGTACATTCTAGTTAGTTTTATTTTAATCTGTCAAGTTGACAGACTATAATAGGGTAATTTCACAGTGAGTGCAGTGAACATTTGGATCAAAAGAAAAACAAATTTTCAGACTTAGAAGCAATGCCTATCGTATATCTCATATATCAACATCATATCATTCGTTTTCGTTCTCTGCTTGTATCCAGAACAAAATCTCTGGTTCACTCTCTGTCATTTCTTACTTTTCCTTTTCTGTGAATAAATCTATCGAAATATAGAAAACGCTTAAAGCGCTTGAAGCGAATATTTAACTTTGCACTCAAGATAGAAACATGTACAGTCTAACAACAATAACAACAATGTGACTACTTTCAGAATAAAACGAAGACTTATATGTCTATTTATTTCATGAGGATGATGTAACATGAAAAGATGATGGTGATTAAAAAAACTGAAAAAGTTGGTTTTTTTTCTACACATCACAAGAAATTTCACGGATGCCGCATGCATGATGAGTGTAGAAGGTAAACAAAGCGAAATAACTTATAAAGCGTTAACCAACTTGGACCACCAGTGATATTTCAGTAAAAAGCAACATCGAAAATTGCAATATTATAACAAAAAAACCACGTCAGTCCGAGATCGCACGAGTCGAACTGGTCACATTTTCATGTCGATTATCAACACAAATAAGAATCATGGTCAACCATACGAAAGTATTAGGTTGGCAACAAAGTTTTTGCGTTTTTTCTTTCCTCTAGCTTTAGAAAAAACGCAAAAACTTTTTTGCCAACCTAATAGATTGTCAGAAATACGGTGCAAGTTTGCTTCCAATCAGCTGCTTGTTAGCATTGCTTATAAAAGTATTTCGATATTTTCACAATAAAGTAAAAGAAGCACATATTCGTCATCATCATGTATCATCTCTGCAATCTTCCTACCGGAGAAAGAATGTTCTTTGTGTCATACTATTAGAATATGTCAATATCATTCAGTCCTTTTTGGTTACCAAAAACATTGCATCTTTTAATATGAAACATTAAATGATAATCTTCGCACTGTAGGCTATCGTTACCACAAAAACGTTTAGTGTGAGTCATTTAGTATTGGGAAACTACCCATGTTACTGTAATCGGGAACAAATATTGGAGGTACAAGTCGATGCTCCAGATCGAAAATTTAAAAGTTATTCATATTTTACGTTCCAATCGAAAAACAGCAGAGGAAAGGTAGAAAAGTTGACGGACAGCATACGAAGAATTGACAAAATGGAAAGCGAAATAAGAGAGGCGAATGTCCCATATGAAAGATGGATATGACGGTTGATTTAAGTATACAGTCAGGATTGAACAGATGATTTGCGTTATAAACCATACTGGTTGCTTATTGGAGTATCAGGTAGGTATGTAACGAGACCGGGGTTCTCGTATACTCGCTTTCGTACCCGGGTATAGTCTCGTGTCTCGTACCCGGGTACGAGACACGAGAAATCGAGTATCTCGGTCTCGTAACATACTTAGTATCAGGGGTTGTACAGCAGATGTTATTGGGTGATAACGAAGCGGCTGATGAAACAGAAAAACTCTAACTGCTTGCAGAACAAAATTTGCGTGTATCAATTTTCAAAAACAAACGAGAAGAAATTACTACTGGTAATATGGATTCGATTACACAACGCATCGTTGTACAGTATATCGACTCAGAACAGTGAATTTAGTTTGCAGTTCACTCCAAAGCTAAGTTCATGTGTTCGAATCTCTATTCATACAAAACTGATTTGGTGTTTTTCGATAGTTTTAGTTTAGAATACTATAACAGAATATTTTTTCGCTTGTATTCTGAAAGAATAAAGCTTATATCGATGAATACAACTAATGACGACACACGGTATATATAAAAACGGTTAAGTGTTTCTTCTTTTTATCTCTTTGATTATCTATTATTTTAGTTTGTTATGGTAAAAGCCGTGCATGTAGAATAAATGCATTAATTTGGGCTTCTATGATTTATATTTTCGCGTGTTTATTATCTGACGATAATACTTATTTAACGCATCTGAAAACAGGTGGTGATTGATAATGGTATTGAAATTGGTTCAATTACCATTAGTTTAAAACGTATCCCCGTTCAAATAGCTGACATAAGTATTCAAAAAATACTTTTTGTTAAAACTGTTTTGATGTTAATTGCAGACATCTTTATTTTTAATATTAACACTGACTTTCATTAAAGTTAACATTGTTATTGCTGATTCAGTATATAAAGCTGATCATCCATCTGACAGTGTAGCGCGAATGAATTATTCTAATTAACAACCTATTCTCCAACAAACTGTTATCCCCTTCAGCCCACATCATCGTATGATACAATACAACCAACAGTAATGCCAAGTTGCTCATAAAGTTTTTTCTTTTTCTGTATTACAAACACTTTTCAGAGTTTTGTCCTTGAAAAACAAAGTATTTTTTACCCTTCATAGAGGAAAAAAAGAAAAGAATCATGGTTTAGCAAGAAAAAGAAAAAAAGACAAAATGTATTGTTTTCAACAATAATATGTGTAGTGGAGATTTTCTTGATAAACGTACACTGATAATGACGTTATTTTCCGTTCTTTAGTTTTAAACAGAACGAAAGCTATACATGGTTTGCATAAAATTTTGTGAGTGAATTTAAATAGGACCACCTTTCAGTGTGCACTAGAAGACACTAATTTTTTCAACGCGTCATTTTCACTAATTATGCTCTCTGCTGAATTTTTTAAACTGTTTTAATTCTTGCTTCGAAACACTGGGTTTCTGCATCGATAACACGGCCATCATATCCGACTAAAACAAAAATATGTGAATCAAGCACCAATTCTGATTTGTCCATGTTACATTTCCTGACTGTGTCTGAAGACAAGACCGTTTAGGAATGTCCTACTAAGAACACTGCATGTGGTATTTCCCAATGATCATTTAGATATTTTGACTTTGCCTTCATTTAAATGTGTACTAAAGGTTTGCTCCTCCTGATCTCTATAAAAAGATATTGAATGTTTACCATTGTCATTGGTGGCACGAATAATCTATCTCCATCGATCTTGTCGAAAGGCATCCATTTAGCTTGAGAATCTTCAGGCGAACAAGCTGTTCATAAATATGAGCCTCCTGTTAGAGGATTTGGAATGTACAAAAAGTGTATGAAAGAAAAAGGTCTATTTTTTAAATGATTAAAATTAGTTGTTTAAAATATGTCGATTGTTGCAAACGTCGAATCGGTCTGAATAATGCTAGATGATGATAGAGATATCATTCAAATAAATTTGGTATAAGTTACACATACCTTCCCGAACTAACAGATTAATATCTGCTCCGAAATAACTAGTAAAATACAGATACTTGTTTTATTGTAAGGGGATGTGTTATCCGACGTAACTTATACCTCTCTGATTTTTCCGCTAATATTTTCCAATCATTATCTTCAATTGTATGACGTGTATCTGGTTGAATGTAGAATTTAAACAAATTTAAATGCGCTTGTAAATCAGGTAGAAGTATATAAATAAGTTTCTCAAAACTAGAATTCAAAAATCAACCATTCCAAAATACAATTGAGCACAATCATTATGCAAAATACCGTTGTTGAGCAACCGGATCGACAAACTATGGTATATTAGTTGCTGCTAACACCACTACACTATTATTTACATTCAAAACATCTACTACGAAAAAAGGATTTTAACTAAAACGTACTGCATACGTGAAAGATGACAATCCATTCTCTCCATCTGTTCAAGAAATTCTATTTTCATTTGTTGAACAGATTTATTATGAATGGACGCCGTCATAAACAGTGCATCAATTTCATCAATAAACACAATACATGGTTCTTTTTCACGTGCTAATTCAAATAAAAATCGTACCACATTTTCACTCTCCATCCCATTTCGGTAATAAATCCACTGAACTGACTGATATTAATGTATATTTACATTCAGTTGCAATGGCTCTGGCTAAATATGATTTGCCAGAACCAGTTGGCTAAAATGGAAAAACTTAATCTGATACAATCTCCTCTTTTTCCGAGTTACTTACTCCATAAAGCAACAGACTTGCACACAGTTTTCTTTTTCCTAAAAGAAGTAAGAACCAGAAAGTTTAGTCATAATCATCTTGAAAAGCAGATTGTTTCATACCGGGAAATTGAATTGGTTCTCTAACATTTTCTTTGAGCTTTACTACCACTTGATCCAATCCTATTATTTCGTTAAACCTAATTTCTGAAGCAGGAACCGTTAACCTTAAACATTGAAATGAATACTGTACACTTGCCTTAAGCGAAGATTACCACTTTGTTCATACTTTCTAATTTTTTCATTATTTTCTTTCGTTCATCCATATTTGTCAATTCTACTGCCTTGTATACCAACGGACCTTAGACTGGTTCTACCCTCACAAACCATGTTTCTTATAGCTTTGGCACTATTACTGTAACTCTCAGTTTTCTTTAATCTTGTGTTTTGTTTGTCTATTCATTGTTCTTCTCAGCATGCCTATTCCCTTTTTAATTGAATTTGCTTGTAAACGGCTTGTGATAGTGCTGGATAGAAATCTGAAAACGAACTTGAAATTTTTAACAATCCTTAATGCGTATCTGTAAATTCAACAAAGTGTTTTTCATGTTTCTAGTGTTGTTCATACACAGAGATAAATCTAGACGTGAAAAAAGAAACAAGAGCATCTAGAAAAATATAAAAATTATGCATTTATTATTCAAACAAAAGTCCTTTTCTTTTTTTATCAAGAACTAAAATTTCTTGAGAACGAAACGAGCTAAGTGTTTACAATTGTTGTTGTCAAACTTTAAATTTATGATAAGTGAAAAAAGTTCAAATCTTGAATGAAACAATGTATTTTTAGACATTCTGATAAAAAGTTACTTAAGTGGATATAGACTGCTTTATTCATGCAATAATCCATCAGCTTCCTTCTTGGCCATATTCTTTTGTGAATTCTTCATATTTCTTTAGATCGTGGTCTCGAACAGTGGCTTTCTGAGTTGACAGTGCAGTCAGCAAATCTTTCTTAGAATGACAAGAAATTATATTATCCATCTGAATCGTTGAATAGCATCTTGACTTATCATTGTCACAAGTGGATCATATAATTCATCTGGATTAATGCTGTCTAGCTCGATTTCTATAGCTTGTTTATCGCCAGGAGTACATGCCTTCCATTGTTCTGAACCGTCTGTGGATTTTATCTACGAAAAGTACGGAAAGTGAACACAAAACCGAGTTGTTCTGGTATTTTTTAATAGTCAGTTACTCGTCTAAAATGTCTTGACTGTTGTATACGTCGAATTGGTATCAGCAATGTTGAAGAAAAAATGAAAGCGCGCCACCCGTAAGTAACAATCACAGAAAGAATTTCAAATATACCTTCACGAACAACTACAACAATATCTACTCCAGAATACCTAGAAAAACACATTTTATGAAATAAAACGATTTGTAGCCCCACATGGCACTAGGCAAAAGTACTTTTCTGAGTTTTTAGCTAATGTTTCCCAATCGTCCATTTTAATTTCATGAGGCACTGACTAAAGCTAGTATTGAAACATCGCTAGACGAGTGTTTGAGTCAAGTAGAGGTACGTAGATTCGTTTCTCAAATCTAAATGAAAAGTTGATGGTGCAGAAATATGTGTCATCGGTATGCGGATACCGTCGTCTAATTGCAGAGTCTAGAGCCCATGGGATATTCGTAGTTGTTAGTATTAGTACACCTTCATTATTGTTTCCGAAACCTACAAAAAAAAGTGAAAACAAATCAGTTAGAAGCCGTTGTCTGATTTGCTTAATTTTACCTTGCATTTGTATAAGAAATTCTGTTATAACACGTCTAGATGATTCCGATTCACTGTCATTTCTACTTGAACACAAAAATTCTGCATATTTATGACACAGAGAGGATCAATGCCATCATTTTGTTTCCAACATCAGTGCACGATAATTTTGCCTTAATTCTCCATTTAGTCATATAATCATTACAATCTATTTTATGTCTTCACTCTTTTACAACCTCTCGTAATGGCATAAAGTGTGGAGGCGTAAGAGGGGTAAGAATCTGACGACTTTAATAAAAGTATGAGACGATACTATATCTGAGAGATACTGATCACTCATTACATCGACTTTACGTCTTCAGGTTTTGATGACTTTAACGTCTTTAATGTCTTCATGCTTTGATGACCTTTCGTCGTAACGATTTAAAGAAGTCCTCGAGGTACGACTCGAGGTACGGTGTTTTACAGCTTGCTTATAATTAGCTATATTTCACATAACAAGTGAGCAGGTGCTTCGGAATGTTCCTTTATTCCTGAAGGTTGCGCTACAGGCAAGACACGACCTTCTCACAGACTTCACAACGACAAAATGACTGAAAAAAATTGTATTTTCTGAATTTCTGCTGATAGTTTCTAGCGGCTTATTTGTAACTTTGGCTTCAGCTTCGAAAAAGTGAATTAATAATTTCAAAAATTATTAATTATTAATTCAAATCTCATGACATCCTTCTCTTAACTCAAAATCCCGATGTCTATCTTACTTTACAAGAAGAAATTGATTCAATTCTCAATGGTCAATTACCCACACCAGAAATCCTGTCTCGCCTCACATATACCGAAGCTGTATCCGTGAATCATTACGATTACACCCATCCGCTACAAATGTTATTCGAACAGCTACCGCACACAACACAGTTGTGACAGAAGATGGAAAAGAAATTTTTATTAAGAAAAGAATGAGAATTTTCTTGAGTTTTTATAACTTACATTAGTAAATGAGCAAATCTCTCGTTCGATCTCTTTCCTCACCTCATGTTGTGTGGAATATATTTAGCAATGAGAAATACTGGTCGAATCCCCGAAAATTTGATCCAACTCGTTTTCTTGATTTTTCTGAAAATGTTGAAACAACAGCAAACAAGAAAAGACACATTTGCCATTTTCGGCTGGCCCTCGGTCAGGTATTGGTCAAAATTTTGCTATGTTGGAAGCTAAAGTTATGTTGGCAATGATTGTACAACAATTTCAATCAGAATTGCTACCCGGACAAAAGTTTGTCCCAGAAATTGCCGTTACAATGAGGTAGACGATGATCTTTCATAGTATTATGCATTTATTTTCAATTGAAAAATGATAATTATTATTTCTTTATTTGCGACTCTAAAATATTCTGGACTTTTTCTTGATCAGGTAAACACCTTTCAATGACAAATGTCATACAACAAGAGTTATGAACGGGAGATGTCAAGAGTGAAAATGGTTTCTGACTAAGATGTCTGTAATTCAAACTTCGAGCATAGTTTTTTTTGTTCTAATTATATATCTGGTCTGATAGGGCGCATCGAGCTGAGTAAGAAAAAGTGTTTTTTTTTTAAAGCTAATTTATTTTTTAAAGCTTGTTAAGAAAGAAAAATTGAAAAAACTAGAAGGAGCTAAAATTTCGAAAAGTCCTTTAGTTTCAAAAACAGTCGAACTTTTTTCGTTCTTCTAACTCTTTGAAAGTATTTTTTTTTTATTCAGCATTAAAACTAAGCATGAGAATGATGCTTGATGGAGGTCGAAGTCAAAGGTCTTATCAGGTATGGACGTCTTCGACTCCTCCTCAGAGTTGCAATCGGTCTTAAACTAAGAGGCAAAGAGACAGGACCGGCTGGCCCAAAAATCGTTTTAGGTCGAGAAAAACTGGCATGGTGAAAACCTGCAAAAAAAACGATCAGTTGAGAACTTTTATTATGCTACTATGTATGGTGAACCAAAATCGGTAAATTAAATTATCCACTTCGCCCTAACATATCATCTATAGGGTCATGCAGTTATGATCTGTCTAAATATCTTTACCAACTCATTAGAAATAATAGACCCTCAAAATCATTTTCTTATATCCACGACTCATTCGAATTTGTGAAGAAGATTACAGGAATCCAAAATAGGTCTGATCAAATAATGGTTAGGTTTGATGTCGATAATTCATACTCAAACGTTCCCGTGCATGAAGCTGTGAAAATTACTCTAAACATGTTATTTAACAGACCTACTCCACCGCCTATACCTTTTACTCATCCACAAATTAAAACGATTATTAGAAATTATTGTATGTGATATTAAACTATATATACAAATCAACAGACCGGCAATGGGGTCACCTTTAGGACCAAGATTAGCTGTTTTATTTATGTCAATCTTGCGCAAAAACTAAATAGATTCTATTCTCTATTCTTCTAAATAGAGAAATTGTTTATGTTCAAACCAATTCTATTAACCATCCTCGTATAAGGCTTATGTAGCACTCCTCTGCCGAGGTTCGGTTGAGCGATAATGATAGGCCCCTCGAACAGACGTGCACGACAGACCTGCGCCCAGTTCAACTGCTCCTTCATTTATTTCTTAATGATTCGAAAAGTATATGCAGACGCAGGAGGTACATAAAAGTTTCTTTTAGCATGTGATAGAAGTGACCGCAAGCGAACAGCTTTCTGTTTGAAATAAAACTTAGTCATCTTCTTTATAAAGCCTTTACGACTGCCAGCACGGTTTGCGAGTGCATCCTATGTGGGCGGGCCGAGGTCGCTTGATCATGATGCATTCCTAACTTTGAGAATTGTAAGTTTTCTTCATGAAACTGCTGTCTCTGAAGCCTCACTTATACATAAGTTTTTTTGATTAATGTACAGAAACTCTACGTCCGCTTTCGTCAATAACAAGATGCCGCGCAGTAGCGGATATTTCCCATTGAAAATGAAAAATTACACTTTTCTCCTGGAACGATAAAACGATCTAACTTTTTTCGACAAAACGGCTTATTTTCACGATTTTAAGCGGCATCCAAAACTTTAGGTGCATGTATGAGTGTCTTAAAGACCATTCAGAAATATAA